CCTCTTAAACGTGTAAAATGAAAATTTATATGAATTTATTTGTTGTAATTGGTTTATTATAAATTAGTGAAATACGTCAACTTTGAACTCCCATTTCAATGAGATTCGTACTCCGATATTAATAGGACCAAGCGTATATATGTTCTACTCCTCGTGGTAATTAACATTATATATTTATTAATCGAAAGTTATTTAGTATTTGATTTCAAAGTTATCCACGTGAATCTTTAAGTAAGTGGAGAATTTGATTTAATTGGAAATTGTTGAACATTTATCCCACATAGGAAACCTTGAAAACTTTTGTATGGTTAATTTAGTGGAAGTTCGACACTAGTTTTTTGAAGGGAGAGTCATAAATCCTATTGGGTTCGATCTTAAGCCTACAAGTGTGCGTTGGTGTCATCTGATCAACATTGCACAAGCACTGATCCAAGTCAATTTGTGTGCGGAACAGTCACCACTATTTTGAAAATGTTTGTAGTGTATTCAAATGACCATATATAAATCTATAAATCATGTTCTGGTGCTAAGAAATTTACACAATTTTCATTGCAAATATTCTTTGTTTTGAATGAAATTGGTTCTATTTTGGAAGACAATTGCTGAAGGCTTTTAAGCACCATAGAAGGAAGCAAATTCGTCTTAAAGATACATCGTAAAGTCGGTGGGCTCAAATTAACATTTGATCTTATTGATCGTCCCGATATACTATTCAAATACATTTAGGTAAATCTGCAAGTTTAAGTAAGTATCTTTGAATGGTTCGAAAGAGAAAACAATATTATTTACTTTATTTTAATTTTTGGATATGGATTCATTAAAGTGGAGAGGGGAAGTTGAATTTCATGTTATGACTTTATTAGCTCTTGACAGACAGGCTTGTGCTATTGTCAATACGAAATTGATTGCTAATTAGTTTCAGGAATTCATTAAGTTGAATACAGCCAAATTTACTTGCTATTAAGAATTCTTGACGAATTTGTTGCGGGGGTGGACACAGCACCTGAAAAGCTTGATCTGACGCAAAGTCGCTAAAAGGGTCGAAATAAGAATGATTGAATTGGGGGTGGACACACTCATTACTTGATCATCAAAGTTCAAAAATTGTCATTTATCCCAAGCAAAACTTAGTAAAAAGGAGATGTTTCTCATATGCAGTATTTATATTCTGTAGTAACAATTTTATTTAGGCCAAATTGCCAGAATTCCCTCAGAAAAAATCTCGGTATTGGTGTAAGGCGAGCTTGAAATATCGACTGATCTTGAGGTCTCATAGCCGCATTTTTCTTTGCGCTCGTCCTGCACTATCTGCTTATATCTACACTCTGTGCTGCAGAATGCTTTTTCTCCCCTGCAAATCATGGATCAATATTATTTTCAAGAATCTTTCTTGGTCTATAAAATGAACTTTACATCAAAAATTGCACTTGAATTTTACCTGTACATGTATACGTCTTTTCCATGGAGTATTTTGTTACACAAATGGCATGAGCTTAGAAAATCTGAATCCAGAAAACCCATTACATCTCCAGATTTTCTGGTGGGAGGTAGGTGAAAAACACTAGGGCGGTTGGGGATCGAATCGTCGCCTCTCGTGCCATTGCAATACACTCGAGTGCAGGGCTTGTTTGGATCATGACAAATCACGATAGTGTAATCCTCCATAGTTTCCATCTCCATTTCCTCAAACTCTCTCCTAATTCTTGAACAATTCTTGACTGGAATAGGGTTGGATTTGCTCGAATTCCGGCTGCAAACAGTCTTGTTGGCCGAATCTTCACCAAGGGCAGCCACTATGCCTAGTCCCACCCCACCAACATCATAATTCTTTAGCCCTCTTGGGGAGTGAATCTTGGCATCAATAACACTTGTTGGACTAGTCGCAAAGTCCTCTACCCTTGCCCGACTGCCAGAGACCAATGATCCGGTTAGGATTCCAACGGCCATCTTCGATTTTAAGCCTAACATATTATAAGATTTCTAAGGAGAGTATTGGGAGCTGTTTAAGTTTTCTCAGCTCTCTCAATCCAGTTTTGGAAGAGGGCTCTTTATGAAGCTTTCCAATTTATGGTTGATGGAGTTGTTAGACGAAGCCCATGGTTTGGTTTGAAATTATGTATTGATGGTTTCATTTTCAAAGGAGAAAAATTGAACCAGCTTTATTCTATTATTAAATTGGATTCCAAAGTCATTTTTTTGAAGTATTAATTTCATAAAGAGTCACTGAAATTTCAACCTAGTTCTTAAAGTATTTTATCGACCTTTTTAATCACCATTCAGTTATGCTCCATCTTCAAGATCTAAAGTGGCTTTGCCAAACCTCGACATTGACTTAAGGTTGTTGCCAGAGTCGGTCCTGTGTTTGATGGGCCCTGAGGCGAACGATGAAAATTAGCCCCCTCCCCCCTATCGATAAAATTCAAAGGTATATTAAGGATGTTGTTTTGTTGTGGGATTTAAGGATATTGTTTTGTTGTTGGATAATTAGTCTTGGGCCGGCTCACTTTGTTATATATATATAAAGGGGCCAAAATTAGGCTCCTAATGGTCTTGGGCTTGAGGCAGAGGCCTATGACCGGGCCTGGTTGTTGCATCTATATCGCAAAATTATAGATTTGCAAACTAATATGCCGTTCTTGAAAAGGAAAAACCATACGATCGACAAAAAAGTCATAATTTTAACAATTAGCAACAAAACTAAAACGATATGACAGTTTGAAACGGTTGCCAAATTTTATTTATCTATTTTTTATCTTCTCTCGCCATGCACAGCTTTTTTCCTTAAAGGCCCAAATTTTAAATTACTTAGGACGTATTTGAGCCACATTTTTTTGGAAATAATGTAATTCTGAATAGTATTTTGATGAAAAATGTGTGGTTAAAAAATAAAGAAATATTTTGAATTTGTGTGTAATATTATTTTATTGAAAAATGTGAAGTTGAAAAAAAATAGAGAAAAATATTTTTTGAAAAAAATGGGAATCAAACATATAGTTATTAATTTTTATTCTTCTCCACTATCTAGGATTTGTCAATGTGAGGGAGGTAAATCGCAGGTTATGCCTCCAAGGGTACAGGGTGGAAGGCTGCTTGTACACTTGCACTTACCCAAGAGCCAAATCCATATTTCAGGATTCGAACTCTTGACGCAGCAGCCTCAAGCAAAGCTGGATTTCTCCACCCTCCTCTTTTACCACTTGGAGATGTGCCCTGGGGGTTAACAGAGACTCCTTTTTAATTCGTAGGGGTTGTTGAGTATAGCAAAACTTTGCATAAGTTAGCTAAATTTTTATCCAGTCGTCATGCGCTATCAAGATGTTAATCATGCCTTGAACAATGACTTAGCAACATGTTTAGAGTCTTCAACGTGAGATAACATCCTCCAAGAGAAAGAAAAAAAAATGTGTGGTGAGATCTCAATCCTTTGATAAGTTATATTAATATGCACATATATGTGCCTACAATATCTATTACTAACATTCAATGACTTTGATTAGAAAATTGTCATAAGTACAATATGCGAACAGTTGTTTTAACTATTGATACTTGGCAAAACATATGTTGTAACCTCATCTTAGGCATGTGTCAACTACATAAATATACAACATAAGCACTTATAAAACATATTTTGATAAGTTAGATTTAACAACGTTGAACACAATTAAACAGAAAATAAGAATAAAATCTCACAAAATGAAGCTTTATTTACAAATTTCAGTAGAAAAGTCAATACGATCATATCTTTCTCTCATACGATATAGTGATCTATTCAATTTTTATTTTTTTAATTTTTTTTCAAGAGAGTATAGAATTTCAACTTCAAATTTTTAAATTATGATATATTTAAATTTTCAATTATGTTGTTGCTATCTTATAAATAACTATATGTCAAATACTAGTAAGGTCACAATCTTATATTGACTTGATTTTAAATTCCCTCACCCAACGTAATGAAAATGGGTCTATATATCATAGCCATCCATTCCTATCATTTATTATAAAGATATAAAAACGATAGAATATTTCTTTTTCGTGGAAATAAAATATTTATGGTATCTTTGAACATATCTCATTAATGTTAATTAGTATTTTGCATACTCTAAGCTAAAGAGTTCAATCATTCGGACACAATTAGTGATGTACTTCTAAGTTCTATTTAAAGAGTATCGTTGATTAAATTTGATGTGTGACTATATTAAGGTTGATCAATGTTAGTCAATCAGATCGACGCACAGGAGTAACTAAATAGTTTGGATACGCGTATACATGCCAATACGCATGTCATCTTATTGATGTCTCGTCAATTGCGTGTAGATACATGAAATTTGACATTTTTTTGTGAATGTACGAGAACAATTTTTAGGACCTTGTTGCATCAAATTATTGTTACTGGCTATTCTAAGCTCCCAATAAATAAATGAGTTGAATCGTAATATTTGCTAGAGTTTTTTGATTATTTAAACTTTAACCTTAAAGTTGTATACCTACTTTTAAAGAATAATATAAGACTAACATTTTTCATATATACAAACCTAACTTGATTGAACTATAAGTAGATTATAAATAAGTACTCAGAATATTCCCTTACCTGGTCAATAATATAGTTTCACTATAATTTTTATCGAGAAATGATAACACAGAGAACTTAAATTTGTTAGAACCCACAACTTATAAACCTTATAACACACCCGAGTAGTTGTGAGTAAAAAAATGGACGATTATATTGCTATCTTTTTTAGTTGCACTAAAAGGATATCAATTTTGCCCATTGTCGCTCTCGTCTTTCCCCTTCTTTTTGAAGCATTGTTATCCTTAAACCTCTATTAATTAATACATTTTATCCCTAATGATGGTTCGGTCCTTAAAGGCAGAAGGGCATAAAAGGCATATTTACTGCTTGCCCCTCACTTTTAAATTGACAAAAAATAACATATACAAAAGTTCTACATAATTACCACCCATTTCAAAATGTGCCAATAGAATATTGATGATTAAAATTCTACAAAGAAAAGTTGAGGACACAAATACAACAATAAACAAAGATTAAAGACTAGGTGAAATTACATAAATAACTGGTAATGGGAAATATAAATTAAAAGGCAAATTATAGAAGACACATCTTAAGATATTTGACTATTACAGTACCACCCACTTTTTATGAATTACGTCAACATCAGAGTAAGCCAAAAATAATATGCAATTTCTATTTTACACTATATTTCCACTCGTCTTCGTTTTTCTTATATTTTATTAAAATAATCTTGGCCGAAATTAACTTTTTGTATTTTTTTATTTAAGTAAAAAAAGAAGAGAATTGATCGAAAATTTTGTCTTCCGACACTTTGAACTTTATTCAAATGTACAAAATTCATTTGTTAATTATATGCAAAAAAAAACTATTTTTTCTCAGTCATATTTCAAAAATTAATAAAATTTTTCAAGATATCAATTTTATTTGGACCTTATTATACACTATAACAATATTTCATTTAACTAATAAAAGCTCAAAATAAACTAAAAAATCTTTAAGAATTAAGGAAAAAAAGAGAAATAAAGATAGTTTAAATAACATTTATTTGTTGTTCAATTATATCATAAATACAAGAGGTAAAATAGAAATATAAATTTTCCTTTGGTTAAATCTGTTTAAGAAAAAAAAAGTGCTGAATGCTATGAAAATAGTGAAAAAGAGAAGAGAAAATAAAGGTCAATAGACTCGTGTGTATGTTGGAGATAATTACACCGATATTGTGCATATTATATTCACAAAAAATATACCGTTTATGTTCAGGAAATCGAAACGTAATCTCGACTTATCGAAATGGATTTGAAGAGCAAAACAATAATAATTATCGAATCCGAATGCATAGATATGAATTCATCCCTTTCGATTATTGAATGAAAGCAAATTATTGTTTAAATCAAACCTCGTAGAATAAACATGTAAATAATATTAATCAATTTCTGAAATCAAACCATAATTAAGAGAAATCAGAAAATGAAGGAAGAAAAATGCAAGTGATGAATTTTTGGTCGAGACAAGTGTTTGACACTTGGTCCTTAAGATAAATTTACCCCGCATCGCTGCTAACGATTTTCTAGCAATCACCTCCCAAGATACAATGACCACGTCAAGTCATAAGAGTACTACAAATGACTTCGATCAGCAAACTCGAACGGAATTCCTTCTCTACCATAAACATGACTTTGATGCAAGACATAATCATTTCTACAAAGTATTTTAAGTAACTTGACATAAAATGAATAATATAAAATTATGGAATGAATTGAAATTCCTGAATGATTTCATCCAAACATATGAGGTCAAATATAGATGTTGAAAATGTTTGTCTCAAAAGACAATCTATGGAAGTGACACAACTATTGGAATTTGTCTCTATATTTAAAGAGACACGTCTCTTGAAAAATGATAATGCCAAAAATCATAATTTTTCATATAGAAAGACACATTTTTAGCCAAATAATTTCTAGAATATTTCATAATATTCTACGCACTTTTTCAATAATTCACGTATTTAGGTGATTTAAATTTGGCTTAATTTTCCATTCAAATAATATAAAATTTTCAGCAAAATTCCAACAATCCCCCATATGAATGAAAATAAATGAAAATATCTATGCAGATACTAGTAAAGAGAGCGGAAAAACTCTGCATCAGGGATGGTAGCTTCTGGTCTTGAACCTCCTTTAGTGAAATATCATCATACTTACTCGGTTAATTGGTGAACGCGATGTTTTGAACCATTCAGCCTTCAGTGTAAGCCAAGACAACGATACTCACACAATGTTTTCCCTAAACCGTTCATGGTTCTCATGATTTTGTTCATTTTGACCCTGAACCCTTCTTGGTTTTGTGAGTATTTAGAGAATTCAAGCCTTGAATAATTATCATTGAAGCGGCACTTCACATTCACATAAGTGGCCTCCTATTAAGAGTATTATGCCCTACTCCACTTGACTTAATCAAGATATAGGAATTATTAAAAGATTATCTTAACCTCTTGTAATTGTGTAGAAAGTATTTTAATATCATAGGAATGAGTTAAGAAATTATTTTTCTTAGTGCTTCATGGAATCCTCATAACTTAGTTATCCCTTTGAACCAAAATCTTGGTAT